TGTATTTGTATTATAAAAAATAATTATTTATTTAATAATATGATATATGTAATCAAAAATAACCTGTTCACTGAGATGAAAATGACTGCAACTTTAAGTATATTTCCTTGATGCATTGAATTCCATAGATCAGGCTGTCAAACTGCCAGCCCATGGGCCGGATGCATCATGCCAAAACCATGCCCATCCCATTGCTGGCAATGGAGAAAAAGTCGCGATACGTTGCAACACGTCACGTGACATTGTGAGTTTGACACCCCTGCCATACATATTATTTTTGAAAAATGTACTTAAGGGAAAATCTTACACACTACACTATTGACCCAAATTAAGTTTACATGCAAGATGTTATATCCAAACCTTACTTTGAACATTTTTGGGGATCTATTTATCAGACGAATGTAGGAGAAAGTAGTTTAGTACCTCATTGTCAGTTTTTGCCTTGGATTCCTCTCAGATGCAGTTCTTCCTGAGCCAAGATTACTTTTATTCCCTAAATCTCAGAAAGAATTTGAAGACCGTATCCTCTGATCTTCATTCTTGCCAATTTAGAAATATTGAGAATGAAGAGGGAAACGCCCTTTTCTTCTGAAGTTCAGCATCGGAAAACGTGGCACTCTCATTCCATATGAAAGGAAAGAAAAATAACACACCTCTCCTCATTCGCATCTTCAGATAGATATTTGGAGGTATGATCTCAGATAATTGTGGGGGACATGTAGCCATGAGCTTCAGGCCTTCACTCTAATAAGGCAAGTTTAAATAACTGGCTGACAACCCCAAACCTCATTTATATCTTATTATTGAGCATTGGTGTCTAGGGATGTTGACTGTTGCCTGTTGGGGTGGGGTGAAGGATAAGAAAGTCCAAGGGGTAGCCATGACTATACAGTACAATTGAAGCCCTGCATGGACTGTGACCCATGTAAAATGGGACAGGGCTTTAATTGCCTGGTTGCAGAAATTCTGGCCCAATTGTGGTCATAAATTGAGAACTACCTGTACTCCATCTAGCTTTATAAACCACACATTATTTAATCATGCTGTTCTTTGACCTAACGTGTGGCCAATTGGTTCATGCTGTTTTGCCTTCTATTTTTAAGTAGTATTGGACAGCTCTGGAGGAATTTGCTACAAAATGTTTTCTTTTCAAGGAGCTCTCACTCTCAATCTTACCTGTGTTAACACTTCTGTTTTTATTACTTTGTTAGATTATTTTGTTCCTCTGGGAAATTCAAAAATGCCAGAGATTTCTTTCATCCCACCTGATATATTTACAGAAGAAGCCTGAATAATATGGTTATACTTCACAGAAAGTATTTACCTACGTATATGTTTATATGCTTAAATGAAAGTTGAAGTTTCTATCCAGATTAATTAATTTTGGAGTAAGTTACGACTTTTGCCCTTGCCTAAAAAGATTTAAATACATGAAACCTAATCACAATTATTCATAAACACTCTGAAATGTTGTTTGCATTGAACATTCCTCATTTTATAAAAATCTTATCATCATTTTGGTGGAAGCTTCAAAGAAGCGGAGCTATCAATATACCAGGAACTCTTAATTCTTCCTGTAAATCCTTGAACCCTGTGAAAAATGTAAATATCAAGAATTTTTAGGGTTGAAGTTTTTCTTGATAAAGGTTGTCATTTCCTCAAAATCTCATTAGTTTATGATACATAATAAATTATTAACATGTCAGCCATGTGTATGTACAACTCTTAAAACTAATAACTTTTAAAATGTATTTGATTTAAAAAATTATATCTGCCCATTTCATTTTGGGTCTCAAGGAGAGTTAAAATGTTCATAAAAATACTATTCAGCCATCTAATCATTTAATCCACCCAACACCTAATTTGAAAACTATAAATAGCCGGAATAAAAAGAAATATTTTATGAAAAGAATTCCTCATGATTAAAGTTGTTGTTCAATGTGGAACAGGAGGTGATGGAATCTCCTTCACTGAAGAAGTTTACATAGAAGATGGAGGACCATCTGGTAGAGTTAGATTTCAAGATTCCTTCCAAATGATACATTCTATTAATCTGAAGTCTCTCCTAAAAATAATTTAGAAGACCACTGTCTAGTTCTTAAATAGACTAAAACCCTCACAGAAAAGCAGAATTAGTTCTTGATATTGAGCATGTCTACATTATGCTCCACAAGGTGTCCAGTCAAAAATCTGAAAAAGGAACTGCTAATGGAAAACAGAGGTCCTCTAAAGTGATTGCTTTTATGTGTACATATTGATGTGGATATTGGTAAGGTAAACCATGCACATGCAATATAAGGGGTTCATCAATCAGGGAATGCTTATTATGCGTAATATTATTATCTACCTGACTGGCTTTTATACAGGCATAAAAATCTATTAAAACAAATATTTTCATAAAACCAAGTCTACAACCCTGAGTTTATTGAGTCAGATGCTTTTTTCCCTGGGTGCTTATTCCACAAGTTGCCCATGGTTAAAAACTAGCCTGGGAAGAGTGCCATCCTGTTAATCTTAGATGGTAATTTTGAACACCAGAAGAGCAATAGAGGAAATTGTGGTTATGGCAAGGAGGACTTCTAGCAAGCCACTTTGGCAGATGAGAGGGAATGGTGGTTTTGTCTTACAAAGTTGACTATTTGCAAAAAACACTTTAGTTCAGTTCATTTCAATTACACTACAAATAGTGAATATAACTCCATCTTGGGTATTACACGCTTAATGAAACAGATCTATCAACCAGTGACTGATAAGAAGATGATAGAAGAGGATAAAAATACAATTGGAGATCAATACCAATGACATGAGATCAATATCTTTACATGATGCCCACAATTAAGTGTTAGATTGATACTAGGAGATTCTCAGCTGCAGAAATTCACTATCTTTGGGCTATTCTTCTAGTCCAACTTTCCACATAGGTTTATTGTGGGAAAGATTTGAAAAACTGCTTCAGAAATCACAGAGAGAAAGGAGTTCTTACAGAGACCGTATTCCTCCCCTATTGAGAAATAAAATGTACACATTCATGCTGACTCCTTTGCTGTTTTCCTGGAATATCCACAGGCGTTCTCAGAGATTGTCATGCAAATTTAGGAAAATAAAGTATTTCCAGGATCTCTTTTTTTTAGTGAACTTCACATTGAGTGCCAAAGGTGTCCTCAGGAGGATCAAAGCATCAACATGTAAAATAAAAATAAAAATAAAAAGTGGGGTCTTTCATTTCATGGTGGTGGCTATCACCTTGATTTTTTGAACCCCTGCAGGCAACTCTGTTGTGTGAAATTAATTGTTTTTGCAACTCTCTATCACCATCCAGTAGTGAGTTCCACAACCACATAGTAAGGAAAATACAAAAGTGATCTTCGAATGAAAAGAAGAAATTCAAACTTGTATAGTTAAGTTATTGTCAAAACTTTGGAAACACCTTACCACACATGAAGGGACGAGTGTATCTAAGATTTGCCTATGCTAATTTATATGTACATCTGATAAATATGACCACGGTTATCTTAAACAGAAATTTACCTTTCAGCCTAATAATGAAGATGGTGACTTAATTTGCCTGCTGACTACTGATACATAATATTTAGGCCCCTGTTCTCCCTAAATGAAATTGGAGTTGACAGCCCTTCAAATAGAAGAGACCTTCATCTGACAGATTCTTTTCTGAAAATAGGATACTTGCTTGGGTGTCCATGACATGGGCAAGGGGTCAAATAATGTTAAATGTTATGATTTAAACTATGTAGATCACGGAATTCATATTGTTTCTGCTATGCTGTTAGGATGCATGTGGTCTTATTGTGATTTGCTTTAGATTCCTATAGATACATGGCCGCATTCCTTCATTTGCATCTCTCACTTTGTCCACATCATGATTCTCTCAATACTCCTTGAAATATCTTGCAGATTAACAACTTGAAAATATGTGCTGGTTGGAAATCACTGAGGACTTACTGCTTGAGCAATTTCTTTTTGAGAATAGCATGCATTTTATTGAGCCTTTTCCTGAATTGGCTTTGACAGCTTGAATGGAATCTCAGGTTCCTCCTCCCATGAAAATCTGCTACCATGAATGTTAGAAGGCAGGAAGTTTATTGAAGGAAGAGTTAATTAGATTTCTTCCAGCCTAATCAAAATAAATATCCATGGATTGTATGAAAAGTGCTAATCATCTAAAAGATGCTAAAATGATAACTATCTGAGGTATGGAAAGATGAAACCACAGGTCCCTGACATCTCTGCTCTCTTTCTTGTCTTTGGCATTGGTCTTTGAATGCAATCTACCTAACTAAATATTGACAGGGTCATTCTTTTTTGTTTCAAGATATACTTTTCCCTGGCTTTTAAAGTAGTGTTGCCCAAACTTTAAAGCTGTTTTCTCTACCCTGCTGCTCTTGTTAGCTGGTTTAGGGATTATGGAAGTGGGATTTCAACACACTTGAAGGCACCAGGTTGGGGTGGGACTACTTTAAAGTAACGATCTATTGTCTTACTGCTGCAGTTGAGAAAAAGGGCAGACAGAGAAGCTACACAGTTAGATATACAATCTTTCTGCCTGATGCTTAGTGTTCCTTTTGTGCAAAACGTTTGTAAAGATTTGCAGAGATACAGAGCCAATGTGAGAACAACACTTGTCCTGAGAGAAGGTATGTAACCTACTCGCTCTTTCCCCACCCCCTTTTACTCCTGTGCACTTTTCTGGCAGACATCCTTGAGCCTTTGAGACGGATGTGAGAGAATTTCAGTCCTCACTGGAAAACAAGCCAACTAAACATAACAGATTACATCAGCTCAGGCTTTTCAATTCCTGGATGGTAGCAGTGTGCTAATCCAAACTTCATCCTGGATTTCGCAAAGTAAAACAAGGGAGGCTGGCAAGAGGACAGATTGAGGAAACTGACGACGGCAGGCCTTGTGGGCAAGAGGCTGTATAAAGCTCCAAAATTTGTAAGCTGATCTTCAGAACTTCCACACTGGGTTCTTCACTCCTGCATCCCTGAGCAGAAGACATCTGACTGAACTTTTGCAACCTGTCATTGAGGACAGTGGAATTGGTCTTTCATCACACCATGACCACTTTTCTGGTGCTCGCTCTCCTTCTGGTACCCATGCATGTCAGAGCTACCTGGAGTGCCAAGTATGCAGTAGATTGTCCGGAATCCTGTAACAGCAGTGAATGTAAAAACCCGCAGCATTGTAAGCGGACTGTGTTGGATGACTGTGGCTGTTGTAGGGTGTGTGCTGCAGCTCTGGGAGAAACTTGCTACCGGACAGTTGCAGGAATGGATGGTGTCAAATGTGGACCCGGACTGAAGTGCCAATTTTTTTCTGAAGAAGATGATTTTGGAGATGAGTTTGGTATCTGCAAAGGTAAAGAATGGTCATTGGATAACATTAACCTGATAATTAATGGTCAATGTATAGCTGTTGGAAATTGCTCCAATATATATATAATTATCCTATTTATCCTATGCTGAAGTAGGAAAAAGTAGTTATTGGTTTTATTCATATACCTAGCACAGGTATCTTCATTTTACCAGATGCTGTAAAATGGTTTATAATTTCTCTGCTTAGCAGACTGGAAAAGAATTGTCTAAAGTAGCCAAGACAATGAGCATTTAATCCTAATTCTACTGGCACTCTATTACCCACAGGGAAACAATATGCAAATATTGCCTGGGAAATTTATAAAAGTATTTCAAAAGTGCTTAGGTCAATATTCTTTCCCAGAGATATATAATGAATATTATATGTGCTGCAATCAAGAGAATAACACCTGCATTTTATAACATGGATATAAACTTTGGAAGGAAGGCATAGATATGGTGATTGTATACCAAACAATCCCAATAGTTCCCTTTTACAATACTTTCAAAACAGCGGATGTGAGGTTTTGAGGTTCTTAATAATATTCCCTTGTCCCCTGTATTTTTTCCAAATTTAAAATATATTTGCTGTTGCAGTCAGAAATGCAATCCTATTAAAACAGGCATTTTATGGGATATACGTATTATTACAGAGGTAAACTGTGAGTGAAGTGATTTTTGTGGTTTTTAAGAAAGGAGAAGATAAGCTAAACGTTCTGACAAAATAAATAGTTTCAATTTATTCCATATATAACTTCAGTGACATCACTTATTTGCAAATAGCAATACGACTCTACTCTGCACACCTTTCTTACTTTTTCTGATGTTCATTTGGAGTATGTCCTACACCATTGTGTTCAATGCAGTTTACTCCTAGGTGAATATCTGCAGACTTTGAACATTAAAGTCCAAACACAATTATTGGAGAATGATTTTCTTCAATAATTAGTTTGATCATCAATCTATTTTAATGACTTTGATTTTTTTTAAAGTGTTCAAAGCATTTGTGGTATCTCACCAAAGAAACACCTTAGATTGCTGGGTATTTTAACTTGGAAACGAGAGAGAGATAGATAGATAGAGAGAGAGAGAGGAGACCCCTTCTTACAAAAGCAAACTAAATAAAGATAGCGCATGGCGGGTGCCCACTGGGCACAGAATACAAAATAAAAACTGGAAAAGGACATAGATAAAACAAACCTCAGAGGCTTCTAACTCTGAACAGCAACCTCTGAACCCACATCTTGCTCTTCAATAAATAAACAAGGCTACCAGGAAGATTTTAAACTCCCACTAGAGGATTAATAATGTTGATATACTCCCCTTCTCCTTTAAAATATGCTGGGAGATAATAAGGATCCTTCAGTTTCTAAAATATACTGTAGACATTTGAATGTCTTTACAGAGATTTTCTTGACTGCTAAGAACAATTTATGTAACTATCAGGACACTGCCAATAGGAAGTAAGAGAATGAGATGCTTCTGTAATCCAAAATAAACATTCTGAACATTCTTTCTCTCTCCACTTTCCTTTGACAGAATATAATTTTCTATCTCCTGTCTAAACTGCTAAATCCAGTTCAATCTATTTATTTATTTATTTATATAACCTGTAAATAGGTTATTAGCTCTTGCAAACATGGAGGTTTCTCCGTATGTCCTTCTTCTACTAAGAGCAAAGAAAAAAAAAGATTTCTGTCATTCAAATAATCATTTTTAGTCATATAAGATGTAAGCTTGCATTGTAAACAGATAGACATATAAATCTGCTTTAAAGTATAACATGTTTTTTATGTTTTTTACAACTTCATAATACCAATGTTGATGATGATAGTATATCTTGCTTTCCTGCTTATATTAGTACCTAAAAGCTGGTTAATATATCATGTATTGCTGTGTGCTAAAGCAATTGACACTTTCCAACTAGACTGAATTATTTCGTTTAAATAAATTGCATGTTGGAAAAGGCCCACACATATTGTAGTCATTAAAGTTTTGATCTATCTAGATTCAAACGTCAATTTTAGATGTTGATTCAAATCTCAATTCAAGAAGAATGCTTTGGACAATCAACCTAAATATCTCACAAGGTTGTTAAAATAGTGAGAGACAGCAACTGCATATCCTTCACTTAGGTGCTTGGAACAAGCATGAATAACAATAAAACAAAATAACTGTTTTTTTAACGATACAGTATTGAGCAAAGTATAGAATAACTTAATTTTACCAGAACAAAATCAACAAAACCATGGCTAGTAGTAACAATAGGACTGTCAGGTCAGAACTGCAAAAAGCCATGTGACCACTAGATGGGAGCAAAGAGACTCAGAAAATAAACCAATTGCTACCGTCCAGTGGCTATCTACCGTATATTTTTGCATTGGAGATAACCACTGTAGGTAAGAAGGAAAGACCAGGGTTAAACATTGCTTTTCAGGCATACTCTCTAGCCTTGAGGAGAAAAAACCCGTCACACTCTTACAATAATGTTAATCTGTTAGAAGAAAAGGTGAAGTTCTAGAAGGCCATACCAAACCTCTAGAATCAACTAAATGGGGATGACAGACATTTTTGTAATACTTATAAACAGACATTTTGGCACCTGAAGTGGAACAGAAAGTTCTGTCTTTCTTACATTCCAAAGTCAAAATGCAGCATACTCAAATTTAGCTAAATTAGTTTGTCAAGGCCATAATAATGCATTAGATAAGTAATAATTTGTCAAGACTTCCCCACTCCCTCAGTCTGAATCATATTTACATTCAGCTGATTTTTTTTTATTAAAAAGTTGCTCTGGTAAATATTGCAACACTTTTTCTCTTAAAAGATTTAAATGAATAGCACAGGCATCCATTGGGCCCATGAGGATGGGGAGAAAATGTCAAGATGGCACCCATGACCCTCTCCTCCTTTTTATGTGTGTCATGACACAGATGCCCCTGTAACAAGCATCTTTGTTAAAGAGGCATTGCCCCTTATTTTTGTGTTAGCTAAATATTATGGAAACTCCCTTGGTGGTATCAACAGTTTAAAACCATGGGGGGGGGGGAAGCTGTCTTCAAAGGTGACAGATACTTCCTTGTAGAGGTTTTAAGCAGAGCCTGCTTAGAGATGAGGAAAGATTGCTATAGCCACAGATTTTGGCATCATGGAAAAATTGGATTAAATGACATCCAACCCCTTCCAGCTCATTGTAGGAAAGGATGTATCTTTTTTGAAAATGATATGCATGTACACACGAACATGCCATATGAAAACAAGGAATATGTTTATTGTCTCAAGCTTCATTTATTTTTCCCTGCTATTTCAATATTAATACAGTCCCAGGTCCAGTGGGATTGTTCTAATATCACTCTGTGCAAACAAACTTCAAATGAAAAGAAAATATAGAGAAATAATGTGGGTAATAGGACTAGTCTGTGTACTGATTGATGTGGGCAATTTTTATACCTAGCCAACTTTATCAACTCCTCCCAAATTTGTATTTTAAAAGGCTGAAATCTGGGATTAACCTCTTGGAGGGGAAAAAGAATATAGAGTTGAAGAAAACATATTCATAGAATTTTTCAAGGAACAAAGATAATTTATTTGCAATCTTGGAAATGTAGGAAGATAAATATGTGAACACTGCTATAATAAATTTTCAAGTTATTATATGATGAAGACCTTAGACAAGCATTCCTCATTTGGCATTCCCCGTTCTGTTGGAACACAACTCTCATAATTCCTAGGAAGATTGGTCACTAGGAGTTCCAGGAATTGCAATTCAGTATTTCTGACAAAACATTCTTTTGAGAGAAAGAGGCCTTAAATGAAGAGATGACATTTTATACTATCCAAGAATGAGTACTGTTGAATCTAGTGAGGTTTACTAAATAAACAGAAAATAAAAATAATTGTGAAATAATAGATTAGTTTGTAAAAATTGTGTATATTTGTGAGTGTGAATCTTTTGCATATTCTTAAAGGGAATGCTATACTCACTGTGATTTAATTCCATGGTATACATGCCTATTCAGTAAATTCAAAGAGAACAGAGGCGACTATATTTAGAGTTGCATTCATAACATTCTACTTAATTGTTTAATTATCAAATTTGCATGCTGCTGAATCTTTTAGACTCATGGTGGCTTACAAAATGCTAATGTAGAACAAAATGATTCTGCAATATAATAAAAGTTTAAAGCATAGTAATATGTCTATTCTTTTCTAATATTTTACTTCCAGAGTGTCCCTATGGTACTTATGGGTTGGATTGTCTAAGAACCTGCAGCTGTCCATCTGGCATTTGTGACAGAGTAACTGGAAAGTGTGTAAAATTTTCTTTTTTCCAATTGGCTGCATCAAAACCTCCCCACCAACGAAAATTACTGCCACCTGCAGGTAAATCTAATTGCATACATTTCTTAAGGGTATAAAGCATTAGAAGATTTGTCCATGCCAAGGTATTCTCATTTGCAAATTGTATTGAATTAATTGAGCTGTGCATCACAATTGTACCCTAGTGAACCTCCTGGTAAATAACAATCCCATGATGCTTTGCTTCAAGAAATATTTGACCCCGGTAATTATTTATTGGTTCAGAATTCAATAAATGCATACAGAGAAGACTGTTGAAACTTAATAGGCATGAGGCATGAGCTTTAGTAATACTGTTGTTGTAATTAAAGAATGATTACTACTTCCCTGATTATTCCTGACCTCCCAACTCCTGCTGTGCTGCCTCATTGTGGCAGCAGGATATTCCTAGGAGGATGAGCAAAAAATTCTGGAGTGTATGCCAAAAATATATATTCCCAGCAAGGTCACCCAAGATGTTAAGGCCCTCCCATTTGCCCCGCTAAAGCTATATTGGCAACAGTGATTTAGGAAGATGATGGAGGCAAGTGATCACTGTACTGACACTGGCAAAGGCATCAATTCATACTCTGTGGGAGGAGGCTTAAGTAAACCAGTTCTATATTTTTTACCAAGATAACCACATGGATAGAAATTCTAAGAGTCAACAATGACTTGATGGCACATAATCAATTGTCTGATTATCTGAATTAAATACTTTATTGAAGCACTGAGCATCACATTTGAATATTAATATTTGGATTCTTATGGAAAGCTTGGGAGATTTATATCATTACAAATTTGTTCTATAAAAATATTGACATTCCCATCTCTCTTACTTGAACATTATCTCTGAAATTACATGAGCAAATGTAAAATCAAATCTTCATGATTCAGTTCATAAGATTCCATGATTCAGTTCAGTTCCCATGATTCAGTTCACTAAAGGGTTTAAGGCAGTGGTTCTCAACCTTTTTAATGCCGCGACCCCAACCGGTCATAAGTCGAGGACTAAACCGGTCGTAAGTCGAGGACTAAACTGGTCATAAGTCGAGGACTAAACCGGTCGTAAGTCAAGGACTACCCAACCGGTCATAAGTCGAGGACTTTCCCTGCCCGGGAGCGCCGCGCATGCGTGGTTCCGCCCCCTGCGCCGGCCGAGGCGTAGCTGGCAAGCGGCAGAGACAGAGCAGGCCGACCACCAGCTGGCCCAGCTCAAGGGAGGTAAGGCACCCCCCGGAAAAGGGGACCCCCGTGAAATGGTCGATCGACCCCAAATGGGGTCGCGACCCATAGGTTGAGAACCGCTGGTTTAACGGTTTCCCTGTCCAGCTGAGGCTGACTCAGGGGGACGGTGCTCATCTCTGATTCTCAGTCTAGGGCAGGGGTAGTCAACCTTGGCTCTTTTATGACTTGTGGACTTCAATTCCCAGAACTCCTGAGCCAGCTTAGCTGGCTCAGGAATTCTGGGAGTTGAAGTCCACGAGTCATAAAAGAGCCAAGATTGACTACCCCTGGTCTAGGGAGTCACTGTTGTCCGGGAGACGCTCCCATCATCATGTGGCCAGCACGAAAGAGCATCACAATGTGTTGAGAATGGACATGATATTTAAAGTTCTTGATTCAGACAAAAAGTTAGTTGAAAATCTGTATCTGGATTTTTAAAAAAAACTAATCCCCCGTTTTTTTCTCTTTTAAACTTTCAGAGAATGACATGGGATCTGGTGATGGTAATTCGGTAGAAGAGGATTTTGTGAAGGAAAAAGTCATTCACTCTCCAATCGTCAAATGGCTAAATCCTCGCTGATATTAGCCAATGTGGGTTAGATTTCTAACCCATGCTTTCTTCTAATAATGAATGTTCAACAAACCACTTTAAAAACAGTAGATCTCTTGCAGAGGAAATGTTAATTTTTTTTAAAGAAGACTCAGTTTATGTATCTTTGGGAAAAGATTGAATTTCAGTAAGAAACTGTGTACAGTGTACATGATTTTTAGAAATATCTTCTGAATACTATATGAATCATGAATCCTTGAATGTAAAATATAGTTGGAACTTGCATATTGCTGGCGCTTACATATATATTGAAAAACATGTATATCTTATTTTTTAACATTCTCAATTCTATATTTCCTGCACAAAATATTTATTCAGCAAAGAATTAAAAATAGTATGGGGAATAAAAATTAGTATATGTACTGTTGACTGAAATCCTAATTCCAGCAGTAGAGTAACAATAATACAGGTAATAACTGTTGAATATGGAACCAGCCTTAATTCTGAATCCTATACATATTATTTGCTAGCAATACAGTAGGACTTCCTTTTCTATTAAACATTCAGAGAATTTACTTTATGGCCACAGTCTTATTCAGAGCTAAAACATAGACTAAACAAGACTTTTAACTGTTACCAATTAGCTTTACCCACATTCAGTTCTTTTGACTCCCAATAGGTCTCCCGTTCATCTCTGAGTTACTACTACTTTAGCACCACTAGCCTCAAAGATTAGTTCTCTTCTGTTGAAATCAAAGAAGACGGTAAAAGCTTTAAGCATGACTGGTCTTAACAATTACCTTCCTTATGGGTAACTTATTTGTGAAAATTAAATTGTGAAGGCTCTGTGTCTTATAATGTATTTATTGCGGTTAAATTCATGTTCCCTTTTGCAGTCAATCAAACTTAGTCTGGCTTGAATTGTGCTGGCTTGAATTGTAAAGCTGAACTGTGTATCTGAAGATTGCAGCTCACAATAAGAGTGCCAATACAATCAACATTACAGAAGTGCAAACACTTACTCTCTAAGTTAATGGATCATTTGAAGGCAAATAAGATTTGAGGCTCCTTCAGGAATTCTGAGTTGCATAAAAAGAAGAAAATTGCTTGTATGGTTTGGTGGGCAGGATGAAAGAGTTTATTTAAATGGTGTTGTGAATATTTACATGAGTATAACTCTTTTGTTGTTTGCTTTGCCAAATATGACGAATCCTTCAAAATTGTGTAACTAACTAACTGTTATTATAATATAAGATTGTATTTCTATAGTTGTTCCTGTTAATGTAATTAATCCTTAATAAAATGGATAAAGCTATTGCTTTCACATTCTGCGTTCTGTCCAAGTTTAATTTAATTTATTTAAATTAATTTAATTCAACATACAGACAGTTTAACCTTGGGTATGCAAACTTGCTCCTTCATTCTGATATTTTTGCACCAAAGACAAATATATAGTTCAGGTGGGGCTATCCTCCTTTTTGTCCTCATGTCCTCTGCCCAGAAGGCATAGCCTTAAAGTCGAATACTGTCTGGCTTTTTGAGTGTCTTCTGTATGGTGTGGGGTGGATTTGGACTATTTTCACAACAGCAGTCATTCACACTTTCATGTATTGTGATCTTGTAAATTATCTGTTTCTTTTTTCTTTTGTCCTTCCACAGACTCAACAGCCTAGATTTACATAATTTATTTCCTGATTTTAGCAATAAGCTTTAATCCAGCCCCTTCAAATCTATGATCAGTGTAGTCCAGTGATGGCGAACCTTTTAGAGACCGAGTGCCCAAACTGCAACCCAAAACCCACTTATTTATCGCCGGGTGCCAGGTGGGCGTGGCCCACTTGGTGGTCATGGCTGTGGTGGTCATGGCAGATTGGGTGGGTGTGGTCAAGGTGGGATGCCTGCGGGCCAGGCAGGGTTGGGGGAGATCCAGGGGGTCTCTGGCAGGTGGGGCAGTGGGCAGGAGGCAGGAGGCTTGTCCTGTGGGGTGAGGTGAGGCAAGGCGGGGGTGCCATTGTCACAGGGCAAGGTGAGATGGGCCGGGGCGGCTGCTGCTTGACACCATCGGTTCCTGCACACAGAGGCAGCAAGCACATGGATGTTGGGATGCATCTGGCCATGTGGGACCTCAGCAGGAGGCTGGTTGAAGAGGGATGGTTGCCATCTCTAGGGCATGGTGCGTGTGCCCATAGAGAGGGCTCTGAGTACAGCCTCTGGCACGCGTGCCATAGGTTCACCACCACTGGTGTAGTCCCTAGACTTGTCGTATATTTCTTTGGTGAACTTTGAAAAGCACACTGTTGTCAATTCTATATTATTATTAGCACATATCCTTAAAAATAAATATTTGTTGGAAAAACATTGCAATTGAAAAACCAGTGTTTCTAAAACTGGAAAAAGTACTTTCGTATACATGTGGGCCTAATTTTTTTTTTTGGGAGGGGGATCTCATTTGATCTCCTTTCCATTCTTACATCATAGGCAATCTCATTATTTTGAAAGGATTTAACCAAACAGGATGGCAATTTGGGAATTTGAAGTCCTAAACATCTAGGGGGTAGTAGTTTGGGAAAGGCTGAGGCAAATGACGATATGTACTCAATAATTTTAGAAACTTTGTTTATGGCATATTTAAATTCCCTGAAAACTCTCTTAATTCAGTACAGGCCAAAACATATACATTGGACAATAGTAAACATCTAAGTATAGTTACAGGTTCCATGAAGTTATTTTCCACTTTGGGATTCGTCCATTAGATCAATTTTGCCATAACATGAAGTATGAATTCAGTTACTGTGTTTTGTAATTATGACCTATGGCTTAATATGGTATATTAGCCCAGGTAATTATGATTAATCAAAACAATCATGGTTAATAAAACCATAGCACAGTATGTTCTCTGAACTCAGCCCATGTCTGATATGAAGCTGAAATGTGTGAGCTTATAGGTAGCCAGTTGGGCTGTGGGAAAATAGGGCATCAGCATGTTAATTAATCATATCAAAAATTCCTTGGAAAATCTACTCATGCTGAGGTAGCAATAACAAGTAATACATGACACAGCCTTTCAATGGAACAGATGTCTTATTTTACAATCATTCAATCATTTGAGATATGCTTATACATAAATTTGTGGAAATAGAAAGCCCACCTGTGCCAGTGAAGCATCATAAATATTTGATCACACTGTTCAAAATATTCTCTACATCTACCTTTATCAGATTTGGAGGCTTATATTATTCACTGTGTTGTAACTTGAAACATAGTACATGGTACTGAACATGGTAACCAGAATTTTATATCAGGCAAGAAGGCACAAGAGTATTAAAAAGAAAAGAAAAAAAGCCTAAACATGTTAAAACTTGCAGACTAATGTATAGAATTATAGCTATTTTAGTATACGTGGTAATTCAATTTATATCACAATAAACACTTTGACTTTAAAAAAAATCCACAAAATTTAATGACTGAGCCTAGAGAATAAAAAGTACTGATAATCCTTAGATAACCCAGGCTTTATGAACATACATGTTCTGCAAGTAAGGTTTCCATTTACATATTTCTTCCTCAGGGTTAGAAATCACCTATTTACTGCCAATAATCATTCTTTTTTTCTCACCAAAGAATGGCTTAATTCTAATATTCTCCCAATATACAAGAAAGACAATAGACAAAATTCAGTTATGTATTGCTCAATTAGCTTAGTGTCCCAATTAGCAAACTCTATGCCTGGTTTTTATACTGTAAACTTTTAGATTGGATGTACTGAGGGAATATCTGGGTTCTAAACAAGTTGGTTTTAGGTCAGGATATTCTACAATAGATCAATATGCAATTTCCTACCATTTACAGTTAGTCCTTGATTTACAACCATTTTTTAATAACTATTTAAAGTTACAGCAGTGCTGAAAAAAATGACGTATGATCAGTCCTTGCATTATAAATGTTACAGTGTCCCTGCAGTCATATGATCAAAATTTGGGTGCTTTGCAACCAGCATTCATTTACAATAGTTACAGCATCCTGGGTTCATGTGAATGCCACTTACCTTCCCAGGGGACTTACAACAAGCAAAGTCAATTTACAAAGTCAATGGAGGAAGCCAGATTTACATAATGACATCAGTGATATGCTTGACTACTGCAGTAATTAATAACCACAGCAAAAAGGGGTTGTAAAATTGGGCACAACTCACTTAATGAGCCTTAATCAAGGCTCTAGTTTTCTTTGGAAACTGCTTTAAGTCTCCTGTTAAATGGGAAGTTAACAAAAGACCAAATGAGGAAGTTAAAGATTTCAAGTGCCTAAACATCTACTTCAACTGTCCACCCTGTGGAATAATCAACTTTATGAGCTTTCTACAGATCATCTTCAACTTACAACTGTTCATTTAGTGACCATTCACAGTTATAATGGACTCCCCCCAAAATACCTACATTCCAGTTCTGAAGTTCCACGTTCTATGCTTAGGTCCTTGTTTAGCTAGAGTTTGTTTACATTTCTCTTTGAGCCCACATGAAACAGAGCTAACTAGAATTTGGGCTGAAACAAATTTTAGGAGGGAAATCTCTAGTTCACCTCACCCTACTGGATAGATTTTAAAGAGGCAAATTCTGATTCTGATCTGGTATTTCTGGTCTCTCATCCCTTATAGCATCATCACTCAGCCAAGATAAAGCCTTAATTGAACTAAAATGAAGTATTTTGGATTAAGATCTATAAAAACACAGGGTCAAAATCATCCAGCCCTGTAATGGCACAATTGAAAGTTCTCCATGGATGACTCCTAAGAATTTCCATACTGTAACATCCTACATGTTCTACATAGGAGGCTTTTTAACCTGATTCAAATTGGTGTACTATCTATTATAGAGATCTTAGGCAAATGTAACAGTTCCCCCCCCCCAAATGGGTCAGTGATATATGTATTGTTACACTGCTCATTGTAGCCCCCATGATGTCTGGTACTCATAAATTTGATTATCAGAAATTTTAGTTTTCTCTCTGATTAAGAAATTACATCTTCCTTTTGCAAGACCTAACTTGGACAGCCACCATAAAGATTGCTAGGTTTCTAAATATAGCTATTGTTTACACAAGCTGGGTGATATCCTCTTCTCGTTAATTGTTTCAGGTTTGCTTTTTTTCTGTGTTTTAAATTTGTACTTGTGTTTTATTGTCCAGGACCACAAATAAATAACTTGATTTAATATATAACCTATTTGTGCAATCAGTTTGTGTGTTTGGATGAGAAGAATGTTGCTTAGGCCCAAAAGTTCTTCAAAAGAGAAAAGGATAAATAAGAAATCAATAAATGTTTAGTTTACCAAAGTGTAGTACTTATAAAACCTTATGTTCATGAATGTTAATAAGAAAAACAGCTTTCATGCTATCTTTCAAAGGTCAGTCTGCAAAGCTCTTTTACAGGGTGCTAAAAAAAGAGAGATTAATCTATTCCATGGGTACCAAAGCATATATTTTGAAAGTAGGTATCATAATTAACACCTGTCTATAGCATCGTATCTCTTTAAATAGCTGTTTTGATCATTGCAAAGTTTTGAAAGTATTTCCTGACACCTGGAAATTTCATAAATATTTCCTGTTTTTATTGTGTCTGGAGAAGACAGGAATTTTCCAAGTTGAATCCGATTCCTTGACAGATATTTGGATGACCTGCAAAGGGGTATTTATTTATTTATTTATTTATTCCTTACTGGATGTCAATATGAAATTTTATTTTGGGAAAGACAAAATTGACAAAGCTAGTTGAATGAGGACTGTGATATCATTTTATCCTTTTAAGGTAACAAAAACATTTTACAAGTGGTGAGTATAACATTATTTTTAATGTGCAATTCTTAATAATTATTAGCCATCCTTCACATTCGCTAATTTTTTTATTCTTGATGGTTGCGATCTAAACACAATTACAAAGGAGTATGGAATAAAGTAGAAGAGATAGTGGTGTAATCCTCCCATCAATCCACCCAGCAAGTTCAGAAAATATGTATAGGAACACTCTCTAACTCTCATAAATTGATGACAGATAGCCGATAACCTCTGACAAACTTCATTCCTGAAAAAAATCCTTGGTATATTGTATTCTCAGTTTCATATTTCAGTTCTATGCCCATCCATCCATTAGTTCACCTTGGTGCTCAAAATAGGTCTTATTTTTAAGAAAGCATTTATTCAAGTCTTTATTTCAAAATATTTAGGCCACTTTTTTAGTATTCCAATCCACCCAAGTTGGCTTACCAAATCAACAATACAGGAAATAACTATTAGAAGGCTAGAGATAACAAAAGAT